AATTGTGGTAATGGGTACCCATGGTGGACAGTGTTGGTTGGAGCTTCCCGACTAAATCAAGCCTGGAAGCAGGAGCGGCATCCACTTCCAAAATGGCTTGCCTCTGGAAACTCTATGTACGAACAGTGCTCAGGCTGTTCGTTCATAGGGTCGCTATGAGTCGTCTACTACTCGACGGCATTAAACAACAACAACAACAACACATATAAAATATATATATAGTGTGTGTGTGTGTGTGTGTGTGTATATATGTATATATATTATCTAGCTAAGAACTGAAAAAGTATAGGGTCTTTGAGGTAATATAATGACTTTCTTTTTGAGAGCCCATCTCTTAGCTAGGAAAAGTAGGTTATGATTTCTGATTACTTTTCTATTCTTTTTGGTTAGGACTGTTGGAGTCATGTAAATGCAAAGAAAAGTGTGTTCCCCAAGCTGTCCTCTGTGGTTCGTGAAGGTGGTCGAGGCCTGGCTACTGTGATATATCCTTATCTTCTGCCATTTATCAGCAAACTACCACAGTCTATTACAGATCCAAAGTTAGATTTCTTCAAACATTTCCTAACCTCTCTGGTTGCAGGGTAAGGAAGTTAAACTATTGATTTTGAAATCAAAAGGGCTCTTTTTTTCTAGTATTTTTTTCCTAAATTGTTTTGCTATCCACTAAATGCTTTAACATTTTCATAGAATTTAAATTTTAATTCTTTTTCTTTGGGTCAAAACTTCAGTGATAGTAACTAGAAGAAAAATATTGTCAGACTTGTAAATACAGATAGGCAACATTTCAAATGAATTTTTAACTTTTTTATTTTGATACATAGAAATGTGCAAATACAGATGAGTGAAGTTTTGACTTCCATATAGTTGTTTAACTATATATACTATTAAAATTTACACAAAAAGCTATTTAGCTGCTTTTTATTGAACTCAAAATATGACTAATTTTGTAACTAATTTATTTTTAATACGTTATTTAATTGGTTAAACTCTGCCTTTCAAATTTTCAGCTTGATAGATAGGAAATATCTGTTTTACTTGGCCATTTTTGAAAATGACTCTTTCAACAATTCAGATTTGTATTCCAGTTGGAGTAAGTTTGCTGTTAATTTGAGTTGAAAATTTTTTATGAAACCGTATGTTTTTCTTTGGTGTATTGAGTTCATGAACGTATTTTGATAGTTTGAGTTGGGGTTTTTTACATTAAAGAGCAAACAATTTTTATATATTTCTTAGGTTATCAACAGAAAGAATCAAAACCAGCTTTTCCGAATGCTCAGCTGTAGTAGCTGCTTTTTTTGAGTGCTTACGTTTTATAATGCAGCAAAACCTAGGCGAAGAAGAGATGGAAAAGATGCTTGTTGATGATCAGGTATTTATCATGTATAGAAATCACTCATGCCTTTGTACATTGACTGTGGAGAATCAAACTATTTTGTCTTATTGCCATTTTCATAGTATGATTTTAGAGCCAGATAACCTAAAACTCTACACAATCATTTGCTCACATAATATAGAGTCTGGTACAGTTAGGCATTAGATGTGAAAGCCTTGGTTAATTTGAAGAGATACAATCCACAACAGAATTTAGAAGATGCTGTTTAAGAATAATTTAAAATTCTAAGTTGTGTAATAAATAAACATTATAAAGTACTTGTCTGATTATTGTCTTGTGAATAATTGAGTTTGACTTTTAGAACCAGCGACAGTAGTAGTTTCTGGAATGTGGTTCATTATGGTAGGAATTGAATGAGATTACTACCTCCTATCTAAGGTCTCAAATGGTTAGTTTTTCTTATAGTTGTAATTTAAGCCTGTGAATTGAATTCAGTCTGTGAATTCTCGGGTCTTAGATGTTGTTCTTTTTAGCTTAAATCATATCTGAGATTATCCCTGCTTAATGAAAAGGGAACTTCTGGAATTTCCATTCAAGGCAGAAACACTTTGGAAGAAAACACTGATGGTCTAGTTCCAGAAAACCAACTGTGTTAAAGAGTTTAAGGCCCCGGAGCACTCTGTACTCTGATGCTAAGGGAGCTGTACGTCAGAGTCCGTGTGACAGAAGTGTAAGACAAAAAAGCACAAGCGAAAGGTATAGAGACAATTGGATATTTATAATGACCAAGAGTCTTCGGTCAGTTATGTCATAAAAGATGTTGGTGACATTCATTTAAGCCATTAAGCTCTTGTATGTTAGGAAAATGATCATACTATTTTTAGCATTCTAGGGGAAAATTAATGCTTTTATTGTTAAATAGTTAATAAGTTTTAATATTGTTTAAATTGTATTTTTCTTAAAAAGTATTTTTAATCTTTCTTCTTTTTCAGTTGATCCCTTTTATTGATGCAGCTCTCAAAGAGCCAAAATTTCAAAATGGGCAACTATTTAACCACTTAGCAGAAACTTTAAGTTCCTGGGAAGCCAAGGCAGATACAGAAAGAGACAATAAAACAGCTCGCAACTTGGAGAATGTGCTGTTAAATTTCTGGGAAAGACTGTCAGAGATATGTGTTGAGAAAATTAATGAGCCAGAAGCTGACGATAAGTCCGTTTTAGGTGTATCTAGCCTATTACAGGTCCTTCAGAAACCAAAGAGTGCATTGAAATCAAATAAAAAAAAAGTTGGTAAGGTTAGATTTGCTGATGAGGTACCTGAAAATACTAAAGAGCATGAAAAAGGTGTGTCTTCAGAAGGAGAGAACAGCGAAGGCTCTGAAGCAGTAACTGAACCTCTTCCTCGTGCCCCTACAGATCTTGTGTCTCCTTTGAGGAAAAAACCTTTGGAAGACTTAGTCTGTAAACTAGCAAAGATGAGTATTAATTATGTCAATGAACAAACATCAGAGCAACATCTCAAGTTTCTTTCTGCTCTACTTAGCACATTTTCTTCAAGCCAGGTATTTAAAGTGCTCCTAGGTGATGAAAAGCAAGGTATTGGCAAAGACAAATCTCCTGAAATAGCTAAACTTGCCCAAAAAAATCCTGCAGTACAGTTTTTATACCGGAAGCTAACCAGTTGGCTAAATGAAGATCAAAAGAAGAATTCTGGATTCCTGGTGGACATGTTATACAGTGCCCTCTGTTGTTGTGACAATAATATGGAAAGAAAAGATGTCTTGGATGATTTAACACAGGTATTACTGTTGTATATTAGTTTAAATGTGAATGATTTCCTCTAGCAGGACAAAAAATGTGTAGACTGCAATTTTCTTAGGGGTTGTTTTGGGAGTTTTTAAAAAATTTTAAAAAGACAAGCACTATAATCTTGTGGTTTGGCAGGTGTCTGAGATTGCCAAATTCATTCAGATGACAAAAGGTTGATACTAAAAAGTGAGCTTTTTCAGTCCATACTTTTTAAGTACCTAGCTAAAATTATTGATCATTTAGTCACTTCATTTATTTTATGAAAGTTATTTCTTTTAGAAGATTGTTTCTTACTCTGTTTTATCTTTCAGACAGAGCTGAAATGGGATTCTCTTCTTCAAATTATTGAAAAGGTATCTCGGAACTTTTGGTGGGTTTATAATTTTAGTTAGAGAAAAACGAAAACCACAGTCATATTTGCACACTCAAGTATCTCTATTTTAGAGAATGCTCTTTCTGTAATTTTTCCCCGTAATTGAAAGATGGTGGGTATTTGCCTTTCTGCGGTATCTAATTGGGATTATTGGGAAAGAAGAATCAGGCTGTAGAAAATCTAAAATTCTTTCCTAACAGTGAATTAAACATTTTATTTAAAACTATGACTACAGATTCCTACTTATTTTTTTGTCTGTAGAAGTTGGTTGAATGTTTCTGGCTTTGGCTACATAGTATCAGGAAATGAAATTTTCCTTATTCTGGGATACTGTGTAAATGAAAGTCTGTCTATCTTTGTGTGGTGACTGTGTGACAAAATCAAATTAGTGATAAAAATAATGAAAGGAAATAAGAGATCATGAACAATTTAGAAATTTTAAAATATAGCTTATATTTTTCCCCTAATGAAAATGTAAATTATATAATTAAAATGAACACATTTCAACTATAAAAGTGATGTCTACCTTTGCAAAAGGTCTTTTTTTAAAAGGTCTTTAATAATATTTAAAAATGCTTTTATATTACATGAAGTAATTTTTAATGTTGATGTTTTGTTTGTAAATGAATACAGAATATTAATTGAAATTTTTTCAATAAGAAATAGAAATCACACTACATTAGTTTATGGAAAGTCCTTTCTGTCTATAAGCAGATCTATCAGAAGGCTCCTGGGTAAGCCTCAATTAGAGGAAGAAAAGTTAATTTTATAAAGTAGGCTGATGTATCCATTTCCAATTTAGTATGTATAGAACTCCATGTGTGTTCTTATACGTCTAGGAGTGACTAGTGGTTTTAGTTCCCACTCTTTTAAAAGATACTTTATTCAGAAGTTAAACCTCATGTTTAGTTTTTTATTACTCTCTGTTGTGCATAGGGTCGCTATGAGTTGCAAACGACTCGACAGCACATAACAACAACAACAACAACAACAACCAGATTTCTATAAAATAGGTTGAGTTTGTTTTGCTAAACTAATTTAGGGAAGCCTATATTGAAGTCCTCTAAATTATTAAGCAGTTTTTCTGGTATTTATGCAGTTGAATAGTCTAAGAACAGTCTTAAAAGTCAGCATTTTTAAAACCAGGAAAGATGATTTTAGAGTTTTTCTATTATTTTTAATTTTAATATTAGTTAAGCTATTGATACCTCAAGATCATAAGCATAGTTTAATGGTCAAGTTAAGGCCAAAATATAAGCTCCAGTTAACTACTTATTATTTAAATTTTTTTTAAAAGTATTTTAGTTACTACCAAATCTGCACTGGGATTTCTTTTTTTTTCAGATTGCTTTGAGATGAACCAAGTTGCAAATTCCTTTCTTCTCATCCCTTAAAGCAAAAGAAGCTCTGGGAACATGGATCAGCATGCTTTTGGGGGTGGATTTACAGCTTACCCCCCCCACTTGCTTCTCTACCCCATTGAAAATAAACTAATTATAGTCAGATACCTGGCCCTAGTAAATTTTTTCAGGAAATAAGAATTCCCATTGTTCGTATTAGAACAATTTATCACCATTATAAAGAAATTGTTCCTTAATTTTTTTCAAAATTAAGAAATGAGGATTTACTATTTATAGATTATTAAAGTTCATCCATTCACTATTGTATTGAACATATTTGCAGTGTTGATAGCAAGTATCAAAGAAGCTTTAAGACAGTCACTGCTCTCAAGAATTTTACAGTCTCATTGGAAAGACACAGATGAAATACTTAAATAATGTAACCCAGTAAGTGTTTTAGAAAGGCAGAAGAAAACAGTGATCATTGTGGGTTAGAATCAGTGGGGACTCCTTGGTGCAGTTGAGATTTGTATTGATTCTTAAATTATGCGTAGTGTTTTGACAAAGAAGAGGGATTGGTGAAGATGGTCAAAAAAGCAGGCAGAAAGCATAAGGCTAATATGCCCTTGACTTCTCACTGAAAGTTTGATGATGTGAACCCAGGCTGCAGCTCTAAAAAGGAGAAAGATGTGGCTTTTTAGTTTTGTTAACATTATAGCCTAAAAAATTTTGGGGCAGTTGTATTCAATCACATAGAGTTGCCTTTGAATCAGAGTTTGAGTTGCCTGAAAAGTGAGGAACAACAGAAAAGTTTGAGGCAGATTTAGTGTAGTTCAGATCCAGTGGTGAAGAGAGATAATATGGCAATATTTTGGTCAAATTTACTTTTGTTTCTAATTTTGCTGTAATTTTTGTGGTTTTAGGCATGTTCTTGTGCAGATAAACATGCTTTAGTAACTCTCTGGCTGAAAGGAGATTTCCTTGGAGAGAAATTGGTAAACATGACAGTTCATCTGTGCAATATGAGCTTGGAATCCACGGTATCTTCAGAATCTTACTACTCAGAAAGATGGACCCTTCTAAGCTTGGTATTATCCCAGCATATTGAAAATGGTAGGCCCAGATGCGACTTTTGTTTTCTCATAGAGGGTGTTACTTTTCACTTTTTAAGACAGTATTCCACACTGCTCAGCTTGTGGTTTATTGATTGAGAATAACAAGATTTAATTGATGCAACTGTCTTCATTTTGTAAATAGACTAAACATTTATTAATCTTTGTAGCATGACTTGGAAAGTATTTAACATTTTTATAATCTACTAATGGGCTTTGAATTATTAAAGGTAATTTTTCTTAGTTTATAGAGTATTGCTCTTTGCTAAATTTAAAAGCAACTCCTCCCCTTTTCAGCAAACTGCTTCTTTACCTGGAAGCTCTTATGTGTCAGAGAACAAAAGGATTTATGGTTAAGATTTTCTTTTGTCTAATCTCTAAATGCTTTAAAATAGGGAAAAACAAGTGATTATTAACTCAGTGTATTAAAATACACTGTTAACCTGCTGAGTGAAATACATCAATTACGAAAGGACATACAAGATCCTACTCACTGGAGAGTAACCGATGTTCCAACTATGGTACTTACAGCAAGTGTATAGAGGTCAGAGTTTATTATAGTTATTCCTGGTGAGTGGGAGGAAAAGGTATAGGAAGACACAGTGCTTAGGAGATAGGAATGGCTATGAAGGTTGTTGGAAAAGTTTAGGAATGCTCAGTAGTGATGGCTAAACAAGATGATGAACATAGTTAATGCTACTAAACAATACAAGTGAAGATTGTTGAAATGGTAGATACTTTGTTTCCTATATTCCTATTTAAAAAAAATATAAAAATTATGCTTAAAAAAATTTCTTTTTGTCTGCACTTTTTTCTTTAGATTACTTGATTGGAGAAACATATGTTGAAAGAATTATTGTTAAGCTTCACGAGACTTTATCCAGAAAAACAAAGACATTGGTGGAAGCTGACAGTAATGACTCAGTAGTGTCTTATATCTGTGATGTGTTCTATAGTTATTTCAGCTCAGCAAAAGGATGTTTGTTAATGCCATCATCTGAGGATTTGTTGTTAACACTCTTTCAGTTATGTGCTCAAAGCAAAGAGAAAACACATTTGCCAGGTAATAATCTATTGCATTAAAATGGTGGTTTTTTGTTGGTTTTTTTGGGGGGTGGGAGGGTGGGGTGGGTTGGGGTAAGCTCCAGCTCTACTTCCGAAACGGCATGCCACCAAAAACTCTATGAACAATGTTAGCGTTTTGTTCATAGTGTTGCTATGAGTTGTCCACAGCTTGACGTCACTTAACAACAACAACAACAACAACAATCTCCAGCTCTGACTTTTCATACAGAGTTTAAAGCGCCCAAGTTTTAACAGTCAAGTCCTAATTTGTTTGGAAGTATATAGCATTTAAAATATAAAGCCTGTTTACTTTTAACTTTAGAAACAGTATTAAATATATATGTGTGTGTGTGTATATATATATAAAATATTAGATCTAAATTTTTTACTTGATATCAAAGATAGGGCCTTTATAGATTAGTTGGAATTGTAGGCCTTCCACTTAATAGTTCTGGAAAATTGTTTAATGTATCCCTTTTTAAAATTAAGGGATATTATCTTTTTATTTTTATAGTTGGAAACATTAATTTTTTTATGTATCTTATAATGAAGATTACTTTTTTGAGACTGTATTCTTATCCATATTATTTTAATTAAGATTTATTTATGATGCTCTGGTTTCTTTGCAGATCATATAAATCTTTCACCTTTTGCTGAAGATTATTTATGAAAAGTATACAAAAAGATAGTCTTGCTAGAGAATCTTCCTCCATCCCCTTGTTTAATGCTCACTTTTCTTTTTGGGAAAAATCTAATTTGTTTCAAAAGGATATCCTTTATAAAGGAGCTCAGAATATTAAAAAAAGACCCAAATGCCACTGTATTCTAAAACCTTATCATTTCTAAATTTAAAAGGTATGAGCTACCATGTATTGTTGTAGGTTTATGATGCAGATAGGTTATTTTGACAGTGGGTTATCAGTTTTGTGTTTTTTAAATGCTATTTTAAAAATCTTGTATCTGTAGTGAGTACTTTCACATATTTTATAGATAATAGATTTAATTAGAATTAACAGATTCTTGTTGACATCTTGATTTTAGATTTTCTTATCTGTAAACTGAAAAATACGTGGCTGGCTGGTGTAAATTTCTTGGTCCGTGAAATTGACAATACATATAAGCAGAGTACTTTCCTACATATGTCTAAAGTTTGGCTCAAGAACCAAGTTCAGTCTTCATCTCTGGATACCAAAAGGTAACCCTTTTTTATATTCAGTTGCAGTGCCTTCTATTTAGTCACTTTTCTTTCTTTTTTTTAAAAATTAATTTTAATGAACATTTACAGAGATTTTGGATTTTCATTCATTCATTGTTGCACCCTTCTCCCTGCCCAGCTCCCCTCAGTTCGCTCCTCTCTTTGAAAAGCAAAGGAAATTCACTTTTAAAAAATAAATAAAATTCTGAGATTCGTGTGAATACCTGTGAAAAATATGTAAGAAATATATAAGAATTCAAGGTTGATCGCTACAACCAAATTTTTCCTAAAAAATTTCATTTGAAGGATTATCCAAATTAGACTTCTAATTTGGGACCAGTGATGTGATGATCCTGTCACACCTTTTTATTGGCTACCTGTTCACAATGATTATGGTTAGTTGGCTATTGTTGGATCAGGTATCTACTGTTGGAGAGTTGAATTGCAGTTGTATTTCAGGGTGTGTGTGTGGGTTTTTTTAACATTCCAACTACATATAAAACAATATTTTTTTTGATCAAAATATTCGTTAGAGTAAGACATTTTAGCTTGAAGTGGGAGAACAGATTCTTTTCATTTTCACATAGAAGCAGCACTCAGTTTCTAATCATAAATAGTGAGTTGAATTTTCATTTTGACTATGGTTATGTCTTATGTGGAGAGTCACCTGTATTTATTCCTGTTTGTTTGCTCAAGAAGACTGTTAATCTGTCCCAAGGTAGGTCGTGTATATTTGTATGCTCAAATAAGTCATAATTTAAATAAGTTAGGGTTCTTTATTATTCTTTTCAGTCTTCAAGTCCTCTTGTCTACTGTGGATGATTTCCTGAATAAGCTCCTAGAGAGTAAAGATACTGATCTTCTGGGAGTTTATATTGGAAGTGTTATGCCAAACGACAGCGAATGGGAACATATGAGAGAGTCTCTTCCTATACAGGTATGTTTGGGATTTATGAGTACATGTTTCATTATGAAATTTGGATTTCATGCAAGACCACTTATTTTTTTTCTTTTTCCTATAGAAGGGGGAAAAGTATATGAAATGAGTGTTGTAGTTGCCTTTATGCCCCTGAGCACTTATATATTTAATATTTTGTCTTCAAAAGAAACTAGTGGACACTGGCAGGATTTATGGCACAAAGATGAACAGAACTGACTGCTGTTTTTTAGGAATTTTAAACAAGTATGTTGACAGTTCTCTCTTAGTAGAGACCAAACAGCTTGTTCTTTGGTTTTACTGGTATTTCAGTGATTGTGTTTTTTTTTCCCAGCCTGAGCAGCTTAGGTAGTAAATAACTGAGTGTCTCATGGATTCATATGCATGTTACTATTTTGTTTTCACAGTGGTTGTACAGGCCTCTTTTAGAAGGAAGATTGAGTTTGAATCATGAATGTTTCACTACTGATTTTAAGGAACATGATATAAAGACTATTCCTAGCCATTTGTGTACTTCTGCATTGTTGAGCAAAATGATCTTAGTGGCAATGAAGAAGGAAGTAGGCCTAGAAAATATGCTTGAGAAAATAAGTAAGTATATGTGAATATTCAGCTATAATGTGATATGAATATGATTTTGATCACATAGTTTAATCTTTAAATTGAACCTTAACTTTCTTACTGGTATTTGAGATCTTAGAGATATGTTTTATGTTAAATTGGAAGTTAGATGAAAACAGAAATCTTGCTGTAATCTTCTTAGCTGTAGAGCATAATTTGGCAGAAGATCAGTTAGTCAAATTAATGTCAATATATGTAGCACCTATGGGACAGCCCTTGAAACGATAGCAATTTGGTATTTCATCAAGAATTCTGAATTTTCAATTGTTTTTTACTTTTTCAACCACAAAATCTTTATATTCGTAGAGATGCAATTTTTTTCTTGGTAAATGGGAAGTTCAGATGTTGAAATCCTTAGATTATTTGTCTGTAAGTGGTTCAAGCTTTAGTTGGTTTGCTAAATGAATTATTTTAGAAATTCAGATCTACCCAGATTCCTCCAGTAAATATATCTAGAGGTCCACTTTTAAAAAACATTTGTTGTAAATCCCATAGAGCACAGTTTTGCTCTTGACACACATGAGGCTGCCATGATTTCCTCATTCCAGGAAATGGCTTTGAGTTGTAGTAGCAGTATGGCTTTTAAAGGATAAATTTAAAATTAGAGAAGCTGAATAAAAATCTTTGTCAGTCTGTAAAAAAGAGAGCCTGCAAGGGGATGACCACATTTGACTGTGGCCAACTCTGTAAGGGGGCATAGTTCCCATTCATAACATTTACAAAACGAAGTAAATTCCTATGAGGTCAGACAAGGCTCCCCCAACCCTCTTTACTTATATCTACTGGTTTTAATACCACCTGGGTATCCTTTCCAGGGTTCTCACTAATGGTCTGCTCTCCACTAGTCCCATATACAACTCATAGACCACATTCACAATAAAGAGATTCATTAGGGAAGTTAACATTACAGTCTTTCAGGTTGTAAACAGGTTTTAATTCTTTACACAGATAGTTTCTCAGGTGTGCCCACAGACTCCTTGACCTTCAACATCTTGGCTTAGGTCAGTGTTATCAAGCTGTCTCATTCCTGCCAGTGAGAACATCATTTCCCCATTCACCTGTTGACACAGTCTTTTTTAAAAAAACAAAACAACTCAACAAACCAAGCCTTAGCTCTTTTCCTTCCTTTTTTTTTTTTTAACTCTTGCTCTGAATAGTTATTGCATACAGTTCTTTGGAAGAGAAGAGAGCCGAAAATGGAAATACTACTTTCAGTCAGCCAGATCTACATGGGCGATGAGCTCATAGGGTGACTCTTGAAGCAGAGAAGTGGAAATTAACTCATTGACATATGTAATTTTTATTAATTGTACCACTGATTAGAAACTGACAATAATAATCTTTCTCTAATCCTCTATGTCATATTCTATTATAGTTTTTCTTATCTTAACTTGGTTAGAATTACTTGATGTATAAGGAGTAGGATTTAATTTTAAATCAGGTGTCAGGACTGATGACTATAAAACCTGTATGTAATTTGCTAAAGGGACCTTGTGATGGTTTATGAATTAAAAACCTTCTGTATTTAGTAAGGCTTTGCAAGAGACACCTGATATTTAAGTCTTTATCAACGTAGGTTTTAGTGTCCTATTTGGTAACTGTATATGACTTATGACTGAACATAGACTTTTCCCTGTGTTATGGTAGATGAGTTTTCGTCTCAGGTCTTGAATTCTTCAGTTGTTTATTTTATATGTGGCTTCTTAACTGTTGTGGCAAAAATAATAGGAAAATTCTTTCAGGATCTCTAGTAACTTAGGTCCCTGTCATTTTCTTTTCCAGTCAGGAAGAGGTCAAGTAAAATTTGGAGAGGGTGGTGTTTTGTCATCAGACAAATAGTCTTTGTTTTGTCTTCAAGCATTCAGCTCATGTGAAAATTAGATCATAGATGTTATGGGGTGAATGAGCATAACAATATGAGAAAATGCTGTGAAAAAAATGATGAAAGATAAGGCAGAAAAATGAAGATGATTGCAGAGTTTGTTCACACAGTGCACTTGTAATTTGATGCTGTCCATTATTTTAGTTGCAGAACTACTCTACTCACTGCAGTGGTGTGAAGAATTAGACAATCCACCTATTTTTCTAACTGAATTTTGTGAAATGCTTCAGAGAATGAATATTACATATGAAAACTTATGTGCACTTGGAAATACATCTGGTCTTTTGCAGCTGATATTCAACAGGTGAGACTCCCTCTGAATCTTCATTTTTCTTAAGTCTTTTTACTTGTTTATGGTTTTACTTTTGTAAGCTTTAAGCCACTCAGTTCTTTAATCTTACTGATCTTTACTCACAGAATAGGTCTTGGTTTCTTAGTCATAAGCACTTTACAGCTATTAAGTATTTGACTTACTTTTCAGAGCATGCGTTTAGATTGTATTTCTTAATAAACGCATATTTAAGAGACAGATGAAGATAAAAGAAATAGATATTTGTGGGAGTTGTTTTGTTTTCTATAACCCATCCTCCTCCTCCTCACCGATGGAATCTTTAATGTTGCTCTAAGAATGTCTTAATGTTATAAAACTTACTCTCTTGGATAAGGACGTAGGTATGAAAACATATTCTGAGGTTATAGCAGTTAGCTTTTGCTTTTATGATTGTTATGAGCTGTTATCAAGTCATCCCTCAACTTCAGTTGATCTCATGTAAAACAAGATTAAATTCTTACAACAGTTTTCTTTGAGTGGTATTCAGAAATAGGTCACTGGACTTTTCTTCTTAGTAGTTAGTGTCTTTCTTGAAGAAATTACTAGACTTAACTTCTTTTAATGACTTTATAATATTATCTAGTGTTTTATAGTGTGTCATATCAGAAGACTCAGGCTCAGGAATCTCCCTAATCCCATCCCCATGTACTTGACACTCTTGTCATTTTCCCAGTTGATATTAGTATTTTTATATTCTTCAGCTTCAGCCACCTTCAGCTATCTTATGGGATTTGTGTTTTGCCAGCTGTAGGTATTGGTTGTCTCTAAAATCATGGACTGTTTTAAGACTCGAGGGCTACTGAGTTATCTTGGAGTGAAAACTCCACACCAGTTGTGTAGGAATATAAAAAGTCTAAACTTCTAATCCTTTGAGCAGTGGTGTTTGCTTTGGTAGAGATTTCATAGGTAAGTTGATGTTCTCACTTGGTAATTAGTTCTACAAAAGGAACCTAGATACTTAAGGTTAAAAAATCTTTTATAAACAGGAGAAAAAAAATGCCATGTGTTTTTAAATTTTCAGATCCAGAGAAAGTGGCACCCTTTGGTCTCTTGTTATTGTTAAGTTGATATCCTCTCAACGCATTACATCTGAGGAGGTAAAAAAACAATATAGAAGAGCAGAGAACAGGTACTGTTACTTAAAATGTTTCACTTTGTAATTTAGTTGGCTTGATCACTTTGGTAGCCCATGATGAAAAAACAGTAGTAATCAAGAATACAAGGGTTAGAAAATGTGGAAGTAATGTGAAAGTTAAGGAGGGAAAAGTGAAGAATTTTGAGTTTAAACAATTTGTAAGGAAAAACTCTCCTTTAAATGCAAAAATAAAGGCCATACGAAGAGCTATGTAAAGAATAGAGCTATAAAAGTTCTCAAGGAAAGAAAAATGTATAATCTTGGCAAGAGGAAAATCTTTTTAGAATGGAAAAGAATCCATAAAGAAAAAGATAAATATTTGACTTTTAGAGATGTAAACTTCTTTATGACAAAAATATACTAAAAGGTGCAAGAAACCAAAAAATCCAAATAAAACATTTACAAATTAACAGGTATCTGAAGTGTATAAATAGCTTATATAAATTAGTAAAAACATCCAAAATGCCTGAAGAAAAATTGTATCCTAAAGTAGAGTCTACCTTAATACCATAGGTGGAGTAAAGCTTTTAGCTGATGGAAGACCCTCATTTGCTGATGTGGTGCGACTCAAAAATTAGGAGAAACAACTACTTAATGATTGACCCAGTGAAAATAGATCTAAACCTTTCCCTATCCTGGGCACTGTCATGATTTCCATTATCCTCATTCCAATGTTACAGACCCTGTTTCAGTCCGTTTTACTGAGGTTCTGCCTCCCTTTTGCTGCCACCTTCCTTTGTCTCCTTATGCCTTTAGGACAGTTGTTGTTGTTACATACCATCAAGTGTGAACTGATCCATAGCTGACTCTCCATTGGGTTTTCAGAGAAAGTTGCACAGGAGGAAAATTGTCCATCTTTCTCCTACAGAGCAACTGGTGGATTCAAATTGTATGCCTTCTGGATTGCATCGCAGCTTCTTAAAATTAGGAATTGTAAAAAATGAAATGGAATTAAGAAATGAAGACCAGACAAGTTGTAGATAACTTCAGGCACATCAGACTTGAGGAAAGCAAAATACTAAAAGTATAGGGAAGAATGGAAAGACTAAAACAGACAAAAGAAACTCTTAAGAACTCTTACTCTTGAATGTAGAGACCTAAGGTGGAAGGAAGAAATGGTGAAGTAAGGGTGAAACAGAAAAAAGGTGAGAAGACCAAGCAAAATATTATAATGAAATGTGTGAAGACTTAGAGTTAGAAAAACATAAGAGAAAAATGTAATTGGCATATTTTTAGAAAAGATTCAAACTCTGCAATACTGAAGGGTGCTATGGACAAAATATTGAATGATTCAGAAAGCATCAAAGGTGGATGGAATACAGAGTCCGTGTACCAGGAAGAACTGATTGACAATTAGCCATTTCCAGAGGAAGCATATTTTCAAGGACCAGTGATACTGAAAGGAAGAAGTCCAGGTTGCACTGAAGATTTTGACAGAAAAAGGCGGCTCCAGGAATTGATGAAATAGCACAAACAGATACAGCATGGCAACTCCTGTCTGATCTGTGCCAGGGAATTTAGAAGGCAGCTACTTAGTTAACTAACAGAAAGACATTTATATTTGTGCCCAATTCCAAAGAAAAATGTTCCAACAGAATGTGGAAATTATTGAACATTATCATTAATTTTGGTGATGTTAAGAGTCATCAAGTCTTCCACAACTTAACAACAGCTCATATGTGATCAAGTCATTTACAACTTAACCACAGCTCATGGTGACCGTAGGAACAGCCAGCTTGAACCTGCCTTACTGTGCTGTTCTCACCATTCCTGATAGACTTGAGCCTATTACTGTCGCCACTGTGTCAGTCCATCTCGTTGATGGTCTTTCTTTTATTGATTCTCCAACCAGGATATTCTTTACTTTGAAAAAGCAAGGCCCACATGGCATCCACCGTATCTGGCCTCTGCTAACTCCACAAAAGGGAACTGTTCCCATAATCAACATAGGCAGTACAAAACCAATTCCCATGAGGTCTCACATATTTCCTGACTAATTCCAACACAAACCTTACAGCTTTACTGGGTCCAAAATCCATTACAGTAGCGCACGGAGCCCCACAGAATCATAATCATGATTTGGGGGTTTATTAGGGACGTTAACAGGGTACAATTTCATTTGGTAGCAAGATACAGTTTCTCAGGAGAGCTTCCAAAGTGTGTTCAGAAACCCTTTAGCCTTCATCCTCACAGCTGTTTTTTTTTTTTTTTAAAGACCAGGGTTAAAAATTCTTAGTCCCCTGTAATTTTGGCTCTACCCTCAGTCCTGCTACAAACTTGGGCAAAGGCTTCCATCTCTGGCTCTGTGGGTAGCAGTCCCAAGGTCAGCTCTGTCACATGGCAAGTTTCTGGTTTTATGCTGTGGCTGTGGCTCCTGCTTCTGCTCTTCTGTGGGTCTGGCTGGTGCCAGAATCTCTGGCTCTGTAGGGCTCACTACATTCTCTATTGCTGCTTTGTTGGTGGTATGATTCTCAAATTCTGCTGCTGAGTCTATTCAATTTAATGAGAGGCTGCCTGGTCCCCTTATGGGTAGAATAACATACCCTGTTCACATACTCCTGCCCACATGACAAAGTCAGTGGCTAGGAAGCCATTTTGAAAAGTAAATGGTTAACACCACACTCCTTCTAAATACATGTCTAAAATACGTTGAGGCAGAGTTTCATCCATAAAAGTACATGCAAGCCCGGGGCGAGCTGTCGCGGCCCTCTGCCTGGGGCGGGCTGCCCTCGGCCCTCTGCCTGGGGCGAGCCGTCGCGGCCCTCTGCCTGGGGTGGGCTGCCCTCAGCCCCTGGCTTGGGGTGAGCCGTCGTGGCCTTCTGCCCGGGGCGGGCTGCGCTTGGCCCCCGGCTCGGGGCAAACCGTCACGGCCCTCAGGAGCAAGAAGGCAAGCACCTGTAACCCAAGACCACCAGTAAGGTGATAAAGCATCCTCCCTTCCCCCCTTTATATCTACGCCCCTGTTCAGCATGAAGAAGCCAGAGAGTCGGCATCCAATTCCCAAATCAATAAGACAGTTGGTTTAATTACTATTGGAAAATGCTTGTCATTCCTCTGTAGCATCTGGTCCCCACTGGACCCTCATCATTTCCTTCACCTGCTTCCCCCACCGACCAAACTGTGCAGCTCTGCAACTGCATCCTGGCCCATCCTCACCCTTCTTCCCCTAACCCTCACCTCCTTGTACCCCTAATATGTTTTTCCCAATAAAAAAAATATATATTAAAAAAAAATTAAAAAAAAAAAGTACATGCAAAAAAAAAATTTGTTAAAAATAATTAAAAAACAGCTTGAGTGATGTATTGCTATGGAATAGCCAGAAATTCAAGCTGGATTCAGAAGAGGTCATGGAACAAGGAATATTATTACTGATGTCAGATGGATCTTGGCTGAAAGCACAAAGTACCAGAAAGATGTTTACTTGTGTTTTATTGACTATGTAAAGACATTCTCCTGTATGGTTCATAACCAGTTATAGATAACATTGAGGAAAATGCACATTCTAGACTTATTTTGTGCTCTATCTACCGAGAGGCTGCAGTTTAGACAGAACAAGAGGTACTCTGTGATCTAATATCAGAAAGGGTCTTCATTATGGTGTATCCTTTCACTTATTCAGGCTGTTGCTAAGCAAAGAAGTTGTGAAGCTGTACTATATGAAGAAGGCAGCAGCATTAGATTTAGAGGACTGCTCATTTGTAGTGAGCAGTATGCAGTATGCAGATGACACAATCTTGGTTGCTGAAGCAAAGATGACTTGAAGCTCTTGTTGATGTAGTTAAAGACAACTGCCTTGAGTATGAATTAAATCTTAGTATAAAGAAAACGAATCTCCAAAATAAGACCAGTAAACATGATTGTGGTAAATGCAGAAAACATTGACATTTTCAGGGATTTTTATTTTACTTGATCTGCATTTAGCACCCTGAGAGCACTAGCAGGATTGAGAAGACATCTTAACAAGCAAATCGGCTATAAAATAATGTCTTTAAAGTGTTGAAATTGACTTGGCACTTTGAAGACTGAGGTGTGCTTGACCCAAGCCATGATTTTTTCAATTGCCTAATGTACTTGAAAGCTAGATGAGTGAGGACTTCCAAAGACTTGATGCACAACAAGCATTTACCACACGATGAGCTGCCAGGAGAATGATCAAATCTCTCTTGGAAGAAATGTAGCCAGAAGGGTCCTTAGAAGTGAGGATGGCTGGACATCATCTCAGATACTTTGAACGTGCTGTCAGGAAAGATCAGTCCCTTAGAGAAGAATATCATGATTGGTAATGTAGAGTCATTGATAAGTGCAATGGGTACCCACAGTGGATTGCCATAGTGGCTGCAGTCTTGGGCTGAAGCATAGCTGTTGTGAGAATATGAAGGTGGTACATGGCCGGATAGGGTTCTTCAGTTGTCCTTAGAGAAGCTATGGTTCACGTAACTACAACAGTATCTATGTCTCTGGTACACCGAGGTTACCCTCTTGGCTGCTAACCAAAAGTCCTCTAGTTGGAATCCATCCAATAGCCCTATAGGAGAAAAAAAACAGTAACATAGTGTTCTCAAGTCATACCCTTTAATATTACAGCCCAAGAAACCCTATGAGCATTTCTGCTTTTTCACATTGAGCTCACTCTCATTTGGAGACTCAGTGGGTCCCAAGAACAACATATATAAACATATGTGAACATTAATGTACAGAAAGGACACTGCTAATGCTTTTAATAGTGAATCTTAAAGATTATAATCAAGCATGGCTTGCATATTTAAAAAACTATAGAGGGGGTGGTTGTTGGTTGCCATTGAGTTGGAACCAACTCATAACTTGCCCTCCTCCAGTGGGTTTTCAGAGGCAGTAAATGACATGGGAGAAGACTGCCCATCCTTCTGCAGAGCAACTGGTGAATTTGAACTATGCACCTCTAGGATTGTAGTGCAGTTTCTTATCAGTAGACCACTAGAGCTCCCCTTTATATGGGGAGAAATGATATTTGCTCATTTGAAGAATTATAAGCAAAGAGAAGAGGGCAAGAAAGTTACCTATAATTTTGTTAGTTAGAATAAGCCATTGTTAATCAAGTGTTACAGTTTTTTCTCCTGTATATTACAGTGAGATTTTCTTTTTGAGCAATCTGAGTAAGAAGAGTTTTAAAAATAACTACTTGGATGAGATATAATTCATGTGTCTTCTCTTTATACAGTTTTTTCCCACTTACAGAAGGTAATTTACATACTACTCAATGTCTCTGTACATTATTGTTAAAAGAAGAAAAGAAAAAATTCATTGCTGAATGTATACCTGCACTTTTGGCCTGGCCTAAGGATGATCTTTACCATATTGATGGTTAGTTGCTTGGTAATGTTTGGTTCATTTTCTCTGTATTGCAAACATTTTGCTAGGATTATATCATAAAATTATCTACTTCAAGAGCTAATAATAAGTAAACAAGTAGATTGTGTGTATAGTCCGTATATAGACTATTGATGCTTTAAAAGACATTGTGTAGATATGTAAGAATAAGTAGCTGGGGGCATACTTTTGATCAGGGATCATAACCAACAAAGAGAAACTGGAAAAGTGGTGAATTTTAAAAATTCAGGTGAATTGGAACACTTAACTAGATTGGGAAAAGTTATCAGTTGAAGCCGTGATATGGGAGTCATAGAATAAGCACGTTGAGCCCTTAGAGGAACTTGGTATGTGATAGTAGATTGTCAGGACAGTGGAGAACGACACACATTCAAAATTATACTATTGTGTTTGACCTGGACACCATATTTTGCACTACTTGGTCAAGATATTTTTTTATGTAACATTTACCCTCTCCTTATTTCCTAAGAGGAACATTAACTTTCTCACAGTGATTAAGTTTGTAATTTTTCCTGTTGTCATTAGTATTCTGATTCACCAATATTTAAAAAGTTCTCATCCCTTCTTATTTTTTCTTTGGCCATGACTGAGCCTGGCTGAACTGCTTTGATGCTTTACTTTAGATATTCAAGAGAATAATATGGAGAGGAGTAGATATTTAAAGTGAGAACTGAAGCGTGAGAAGGAACCAGGGATTTTAAAGTACGGGAACTCACTAGAGCTTTCTGAGCATAGTAATTGCTTTATTAAATGAATATATGGATTATGGAACAGTATATCCTAATTTCCATACATATTTACTTTTTACTTAAGAGCAATGGTGGTTTGTTTTTTATTTGCGAAATATGTCTGTAGAGTAAGTCCTATAGTTAAATGAATACACAAACCGCATAGGTAGTTTTATGCATGATACTGTTCATTAAAAGAAAAAAAAATCTTACACTGTGCTAGGTACTGGGTGTGCAGATGGGGTCTCTTATGCTGTTACAAACTTGTTTATTGATTCTTTTGTATAAGCCCTTTTTTATAGAAGCCTTAAAAACATCTCAAGGTAGAAGAGTTTTCTTTTTTAACATACAAATTTATGATTTCTGTGTAAATTTTATTTCAGGAGGTTTTGGTTATTTTGCCATTTTCAATTCTTCTCTGCAAGTCAAAAGCATAGATGATGAAGAATTGTTACATGATATTTTAGAAGTAATAATGTCTTGGAAGAAAAAGTATGACGATGTTTTTCTCTTCAGTTGGTAAGTGACTTTTTTTAGTGCTTTCTTTTCTTGTTTTTGCTTTTTACCTCTATTGTGTTGACCTAAATTGTCTATTGTGTGTGTGTGTGTTTGTGTAGAGAGTGAGAGCGAATCTATGGTATGGTAGACATTTACAAATAGTATAATAGTTATAAATAGGCACTTATAAACAGTTCTTTGTAAGTGTATAAGATCTAAAATAGAGTATTCTCTAATTGACTGTTAGTATAACATATTAATGCTTATTTGTTTTGTTTTATCACAGTAATCTGTTAGATGTAAGGCAAGAGACACTGGGTATAAATATAGAAATAATCCGGTTTCTTTCCCTGTTCCTGAAATACCGATCATCTCCTTTGGAGGAAAGTGAGTGGGATTTCATCATGTGTTCCATGTTGGCTTGGTTGGAGGTAAATTAACCTGATGCATCATCCCTTTTGTTGGGTCTTCATATCTCTGTTTTGGAATTGTCTCTAATCTTATTTCTTATCTTTCTTATTTAATCTTCTTACATGGAAAGAAAACTATAACTAAATCCCTTGAAAATATTTATGGCACTTAATAGATGTTCTGCCAAGCTGATACTTGACAGTCATAAAACACCTCATATAATTTAGTGAGCAGATTGCCTAATTGCTGTTAAAATGTTCTTATCATCAAATTGTTTTTCTGTATTGTTTGTAGCTCAGACCTTTAAGTTTTATCTCGTATCATGACAAGTTAAAACAAAAATTAGATTTTTTCTCAAATTTATAGTGTTATTTTTGCCAGACTAGCACATTTATCATAAACAAATTCAGAAAGACTTCCCTTTCCCATTTTTGGCGATCCAGAGCAACTATCTGGTACAATACCTGTGGGCTGTCAGGCAGTGTGTCGGCCACTTTGAAATGCATTGATTCTCTGCTTTTCTTGCCATGAGCTGTGACACAGGAGAAGTAAGCTTAACTCATTTGAGGCTCAGTTTTAGTTTGACCATAGTAATACCCAACATAGAAGATTACTGAGGAGATTAAAAATGTGTGTTTAATATACATTTAATATAAGTTTGATGGTAGCTAATAAATTTTATTTCCATAATTTTATTGCTTTTTTCTTTTTGTTTGAGCAAGTTTACAAATCATACTGGCTTTTTATTCAATTATTCATAGACATTTTGTTTTATAACATAGTAAATTAATATAACTAATTACAATGCCTGATCAGTTCTTTGTTGTAAATTGCCTTTCTGCTCTTCTTTTCTTCTCATAGAATTTTAGAAGTTTAAGAAAAGAATATTTCAGAATTTTTATTCATTAATGTTCCTCATTCTTAGTATTTACTATTGTAAAATATTATAGTAATTTAACACAAAGAATTTGGCTGCTATGCCTCTTAACTGCTGATTTTTTAAAATTTATAGGAAAATGGGCGTGGTTATGTCAGCTTGTGCTGTTTGGGTTAAAGAGAATTTGACTTTTTTTTGTTTTTTTCTCTTCAGACAGCAGTTGGAAATCAGGCATTATATTCTCTTCCACTTGTACAACTGTTTGCCTGTGTCAGCTTTAGTTTGGCCTGTGATCTCAGTGTATTTTTTGATTCCACAACTCTGGATACTGCTGGCAAGCTTCCAGTAAATCTCATCAGCGAATGGAAAGAGTTTTTTTCTCAAGGCATCTGCAGTTTGCTTTTACCTCTTTTTATGACTATTACAGGCAAGTGAATAAAAGGAATAATAGTGAAAATCTTGAGAAAGATTTCTTGACAGATTCAAAACTAAAGCTTTGTACATTTAAGCTAAATGGTACTGAATAGTAAAATGAGTTAGAGAGCTTGGCTTCTCAGGATAAGTAAAGAAGCATTTTGCTTTACAGACAAGTAAAAAAATGGCACATATTAAAAAAAAAGTATTGCAAATTATAATAGTGATTCACATAATCTGAACAGATTAGTCATAATTTGAGCTTTTCTTTTGAACATATGTTTTCTTTATAAAGATGTAATAGTAGTCACTAACTGTTAAGATTAATTAAAATACAGATTCACTTGCTCACTCTGGTAGCCTAGTCTTTAGGGAGCTGTGCCCAAAGCCATGCCTCTCTGGTAGTTGGAATCCACCAGCTGTTCCATGGGAGAAAGATGGGTCAGTCTCTTCTCATGTGATTTGCAGCCACGAGTTGGTTCTGACCCCCTGGACCCCCACCCCCTCATTAATGTTACATTGTGTTCTGTGTATGTCAAGAGCTATTTTATTTGAATGGCATTTGATTGACTGTATATCAAGCTCTGTTACTTATTTCTTTTGGGATGTGTTTTTTTTTTTATCATTTAGAAAGCAAAGATCTGTCTGAAACTTCCTTTCAGAATGCAATGCTGAAGCCCATGTGTGAAACATTATCGTATATATCAAAGGAGCAGCTGATAAATTACAAACTCCCTGCAAAATTTGTTGCTGGCCAAAAAACGAATTTACCAGAACATCTCCAGACTTTGTTAAATACCTTGGTCCCATTACTCCTCTTCAGAGCTAGACCTGTGCAAATTGCCGCTTACCATATGCTTTACAAGTAAGAGTTCTTCAAACTGAATCAATGCTTTGTTTGTCTGAAAAATATAGAATATATATTTAGTCTTTTAGTCATAAAGTCAGAGCAAAGAAGAATAAACTTGGCTAGCCACTTCACTGGTGGTTTTTTCATCTGTCAGGACACTGTTGTGTTGGCAAAATGTTAATCTTGATAGTCAGCCAGTTGGCTATATAAGGGAAAAAAACCCCTCATTGTTGGCTATCTAGTGCTGTTAAAATAGGACTACTACAGTGAATGGCCCCAAGAGTTGACGACTCTCCTTCATAGGATTGCTATGAGTCATCTGCGACTCGATGGCACTAAACAACAACAACAACAGTGGATGGCATTGTTAAACAAATTTACTCTTGTTAGTTAAGGTGACTAGAAGTCCAAATTCAGTGAGCTGGCTTAAAGGAAGGCTTTCTATCAGTTCTGAGTAAGGTTTTTGTGTCTTTTTAGTTGGTAGCCTGGCATTCCTTATAGCTTTTAACGTGTCTTAGCATAAGCCTTTTCCTGGAGTTACTTGGCTTAACAAGCAGGAACTCTGGCTTTAATGGATATTTCTACTTCTGGTCTTCTTTCTTGGTATAGTTATAGTTGGTATAGTTGACCCAAACCCAATTTATACCTATCTCTTCTTTTGTATAAGATAAATGTGATGCAACCTATAGAGACAGTGCTGTGATTGGATTAAGAGTGTTGCATCGCACCCTCAGTAAGACCCAGCTGATGGGTGATTATATTATGTATCTGCCACATTGCATCACATCACCATAAACTGCCAAACACTGAGAATCCTGGCCCGGCCACAGTGACATATATTTGGAGGCTGCAATTCAGTCAATGACCTAAAAGTAATACTGACTTTATTTTTTTATTATTAGATGCTCTCGAGTCATGTATGACTCATAACAACCCTATAAAGAGTAGATCTGAACCCTGTCCTACCCTGTGCCAACTTCACAATTTCTGACACACTCCAGCCCATTGCTGCAGTCACTGTTAAGGATCCTTCTCCTTTCCTTCACCATCCCTCCACCTTACCAAGTGTGATGTTCTCCTAGGAGTAGCCTCTCCTAGCAACATTGCCAAAGTATGAGACAAAACCTCACCATCCTTACTTCCAAGGAGCAGTCTGGCTTTAGCATCTCCAAGACATAGTCTGTTTGTTCTCTTGGCAGTCCATGGGATGGATATTCAGTACTCTTCCAGTTATTTGGCGGTGGATAATTTGGTATAAAGCACTTTACCTTAATTCTCTAATTCCTAGATTGATGCCTGAATTACCACAATATGATCAGGATAATCTCAAGTCATATGGAGATGAGGAAGAAGAGCCAGCCTTGTAAGTTTTTTTTCCTCCTATAATTTATTACAATTCTGTTAACTTTTCTTACCATGGAAGACTTAGACAACACAGAAGGTCTAAATTTAAAATACATGTTGATGCAACAGATCCTTTTAAATTTATCTGTAAAATATAAATCCAGAAATTCATCCAAAGAAATTGTTTAACCCTTTGCTAAGTAGTTCTTGAATCTTATTTATAGTTTGATACTATTTATTAAAACTTTCTTTGGTCACAGAGTAGCCTGAAAGGATTATATCACTTGATAAGTCTTTTGAACACCCATTTTGTTCATAGTATTAATTAATGGTAAGGAGACAAGATGGTTAAATCCTTTTTTTTCCACCCTTAAGAAGCCTTTATAGATATTACTGCTTTACAGAAAATGTAGTGTATGATAAATTAAAAAAAAAAAAATACAGATTGCTAGTTATGTTAGCAAAATGAAATGTACTACAAGGGAAGATTTTCTCTTAAGGACCTTTCAGGTTAGTTATGCATTTCAGTAAATAAGAGAAGATGGTTTTAAGCTACTCAAATAGCATCTGCAAAGGCATTGAGGCATGGATGTTCAGGAAGTGCTCAGGGAATGTTGAATACATTTAACTTTTTTAAAGTTTTTTTTTTTAATGTGTATTGTCAATATCATCCTTTATTGGAATGTAAATGCTGTGAATGTAGGAATTTTTATGTCTTGTCCCAAGTATATCCACAGTACCTAGAATAGTGCTGTGCATGTAGAAAAGTGCTCTTTTGTTGGATGAAACAATTAACTGATTTTGTATGGAGTAGTCAAGAAAGAGATAGAAGATAAAGCTGGAAGAATAGTTAGGGGCTAAATAATGAAGGGAAAAAGTCAGTTGGGTACTGTCTAAGAGTATCCATTTTGGAGCATTTAAATTCTGGAGGGTAGGTTTGTTTTGATTCAACTGAAAGTTGGGTGTAAACTGTTTGGTGTTGTGTTTGGGAAGAACATTGTTCTAAGTGGTACAGCACTTGTCTGTTAGTTTGCTTACTGAGATAACGTGGAGTTGCTGTGATACTGAAATCTGTGCCACTGGTGTGTCTTATGCCATAAGGGTTATACATGGTAGACAGGTTTTGGTGGAGCTTCCTTGATGAAGACAGACGGGAGCAGGATGGACCATCTATTTCCTAAATAACAGGCCTTTGAAACCCTTGTAACACTAAAGGAATGGGCAAAGTTACAGTAGTGTAGTGCTAGAGTCTAGATTGGAAGCCAGCTGAAATGAGGACCATAACAAACATTGTTTAATATTTGGAACATGGAATATACGTAGCTTGAATGTTGGTAAACTGGAAATTTTTAAAAAAGAATGTAATGTGTGAAGATCAATATACAAGGCATTAGTGAGTTGAGATGTACCAGCTTTGGCCACTTTGAATCAGATAATCATATGATATCCTATGCAGGTAATGAAAACAGAAAAAGAATGGTATTGCATTCATAGTAAAAAAGTCAATTTCAAGTTCTATCCTGAAATAAAATGTTGTGAGTGATAGGATAATATCCATACTCATACAAGGAAGACCTGTAAATATGACTATTATTCAAATATATGCTTGTATATCTAGAGCTAAAGAGGAAGAAATTGAGAATTTTTACCAAATCTTGCAGTCTGAAATTGATTGAACATGCAGTCGAGATGTGTTAATGTTAATTGGTGGCTGGAATGCAAAATGGAAGACAGAGAAGAAAGAATGCCGTTGTTGTTATTGTTATGTGCTGTTGAATCGTTTGCGACTCATAGCGACCCTGTGTACAAGAGCCCTAAAACCTGCTCTATCCTGTACCAACCTTAATGTCTCTGACACACCTACCCCCCTTACCCCAGTTACTGAATAAATCCAATCCATCTAATCATGGGTCTTCCTCTCTTGCACTGTCCCTCCACCCTCCCAAACATGATGTTCCTCTCTAAGGATGGGTACCTCCTTGTAACATGTACAAAGTATGTCAGAGTAAGCTTCAGAATCCTTGCCTTCAAGGAGCAGCCTGGTTTCACTCTCTTCAGGACAAACCTGTTCGTTTTCCTAGCAATCCATGGTATATTCAACACTCTTCTTCAGCACCACAGCTCAAAGGCATCAATTCTCTTTCTATCATCCCTAGTCATTGTACAGCTCTCTAACACATAGCACACAATTGTGAAGACTATGGCATGGATCAGGCACACCTCAGTCTCCAGACTGACATCCTTGCTCTTCATTGCTCTGACAGTGCCTTTCCCAGTGCACTTTGTCTTTTGATTTCCTGGCTCCTGGTACCAAGCGTGTTATTTGTGGAGCCAAGTGAACTAAAATTGTTAATGACCTCAATCTCTTCACTATCCATAATGATGCTGCCAGTTGACCCAGTGGTGAGAATCTTTGTTGTATCTTGATTTTGAGCTTCAATCCATATTAAAGGCTGCAGTCCTTGACCACCTGCAACAAGCGCTTCAGGTCCTCCTCAGTTTCAGCAAGCAGGGTTGTGTCATCCGCATAACATAGGTTGTTGATGAATCTTCCTCCAATCCTGATACAACATTCCTCCTCATACAGCCCAGCCTCCCGGATAATCTGTTCCGCATATAGATTGAAGAGGTATGGAGAAAGAATACATCCTTGGGAGATACCCTTCCCTATTTTGAACCATTCAGTGTCTCCTTGCTGTGTTCTGACGACTGCCTCCTGGTGCAAGTTTAGATTTTGCATAAGCACTATCAAATGTTCTGGGATTCCTGTTCGTCTCAGTGTCACCCACAGTTTGTTGTGATCCACACAGTCAAAAGTCTTTGCATAGACAATGAAACACATATAGACATTCCTCTGGTACTCTCTGCTTTTAGCCGAGATCTATCTAGCATTAGCCAGTAGTTGGAAAATGTTACTTGGTGATAGAAATGAGACTGGAAATAGAATGATTGAAGGCACAAATGATGACTTTACACATAGATCTCACCTGAAGGCTGCACAGGAATAAGACTGATTATATTTGTGGAAGAAATTGTTGGAGAAGCTCAATATCAGTACTGAAAACTAGGCCAGGAGTGGACTGTAGGTTAGACTGTCAATTACTCATGCAAGTTCAAATTGAGGCCAAAGAAAAGTCCACAGGAACCAAGATATATTCTTGAATCAATTTAATCTGAATTTCAAGATTATTTTAGGAATAGATTTGAGGCATTGAAAACCAATGATCGAAGATGAGGTGAGTTGTGGGATGATAACATGATATTTAGGAAGAAGCAAAAGGTCATTACAAAAAGAGGAGAAAGAAAAACTCGAAAGGTATATCATAAAAGACTTCAGATATTGCATTGGATCATTGGGAAGCCAGAACAAAAACATGTCAAAGTAAAAGAGCTGAAGATTTCAAAGGGCAACTCGGAAGGACAAAGCAAAGTATTATAATAGAATGTGCAGAGAGCTGGAATTGGAGAATTAAAAGCGAAGAACTTGCTCTGCATTTCTCAAGGTGAGAGAACTGAAAGAAATTTAAAGCTCATGTTGCAGTATTGAAAGTTGGTATGGGCAATATATTGAATGATCCAGAAAGCATCAAAAGAATATGGAGAGAATACACAGAATCACTGTACCAGAAAGAATTGATTGACATTGACAAATTTCAGGAAGTACATAGGACTTGAGCCTGTTGTAATGAAGGGGGAAGTGGAAGCTGTATTGAAGGCTGGTAAAACATAAAAAAGCCCTCAGAATCACTGGGATATCAACTGACTTGTTTCAGTTAACAGGTGCTGCCTTGGGTGCACTCATCAGTCTGTGCTAGGAAATTTGGAGGACAGCTGTCTAGCCAATGGATTGGAAATAGTCCATATTTGTTCCCATTCCCAAGACAGGTGATCCAACAGACTGTGGAAACTATCAAACTATATCATTAGTATCACATGCAAGCAAAATACTCCTGAAGATCATTCAAAAATGGCCAGAACAGTACATAAATAGGGAACTGCCATAAGTTCAAGGCCATGCCACCGGGGATACCATTGCTGATGTCAAGTGGATCCTGGTTGAAAGTAGAGGACACCAGCAGAATGTGTATTTGTACTGTATTGACTATGAAAAGGCATATGACTGTGTGGATCATAACAAGATGTGACTGACAGAAGAATGGGAATCCCAGCGCACATAATTGTGCTCATGAGAAATCTATACCTGGACCAGGAGGCTCTGGACCAGGAGGCTGTTGTATGAACAGAGCAGGGAAATACTGCATGGTTTAAAATTAACAAGGGTCAGGATTGTATTCTATCTCCATGCCTATTCAATCTGTGTGCTCAGCAAATTATTCAAGAAGCTGGACTCTCTTAAGCGAGTTTGGCATCAGGATTGGAGGGAGACTCATCAGTAACCTGCCTATGCAGATGATAAAACCTTGCTTGCTGAAAGTGAGGAATACTTGAAGCACTTGTTGCAAAAGTTGAAGGAATGCATCTCAATGTCAAGAAAACAAAGATTCTTAACACTGGACTGATAGGCAACATCATGATCAACAGCTTCATCTTGCTTGGATCCACAATTAACATCTTTGATACCAGCAGTCAGGAAATAAGGAGACACATTGCACTGGGAGTCAGCAGTTGGGGACCTCTCCAGATTTTTGAGGAGTGATGATGTCATTTTGAGGCCTAAGGTGCTTCTGAATCAGGCCATAGTCTTTCAGTCACTTGCTGTGCATCTGGGAGCTGGACAATGAATAAGGATGATAGAAGAATTGACACCTTTGAGCTGTGGTGTTGGAGAAGAGCACTGAACATCCCTTGCATGGCCAAAAGATCAAACAGATATATCTTGAAGAGGGTGCAGCCAGAATGCTCTTTGGAGGCAAGAATGATGAGGCTTCATCTCATATAATACTTTGAGCATATTGCTAGGAGGGTTATTCTTTGGAATATTCTTGGAAGGGTGGAGGGTCGGCAGAAGAGAGGAAGACCCTGCACCAGGTAGACTGACATGGTGACTGCTGCAATGGACTCTTGTATGTCAGGAAGTTTGAGGATTGATCATCATAGAACAGGGTTCAGATCTTTTGTTCATAGGATTGCTATGAGTCATACTCGACTCAATGTCACCTAACAACAACAAATAATGAAGGGCCTTAAATAAGAATTCTTTTATATTAGAGCTTTATTTGGCATGTCATCACCTTATTTTGACAATAAGATGAAACATGCATTGTAGAAAGATGCTAATCAAGATGGAAACCATTATAGAGGTTACTAAATCAGTGTGTGGATGACATGTGGAGAATGGAGAGATTTCAAAACTGGTAGTTTAAGGTCTTAAGACCATTTGATAGAGAATAGAGTTGATACATCAAATAGAGTTGTTGAAAGAAAGGATCTAAAGTCCTTAAGGACTTAAGAGTGAAAAATTCTTAGTGAGGACACTTGTTTAAGTGGATCACACATGAAATGAAGGTCTGCTCCAGGAAGTAGCAATTAGAATGATAATGGTGATAGCTACTACTTAAGAATAGGCCATAACATTTAAAGTTTCTAGATATCTGGGTCCAGTCTACCCAATCTTTTATACAAGTAACATGTGCGTTAAGTTTTTGCCAACCCTGCGTTCCTCGTTACCCTCCACATACTATTATTGTAAGCACATTATGTCTTTTTCCCCATATGGCATGGAAACAGATATGTAAACCATTATCAACTTAAATGAATAGAAACTGATAAGACAGTTTTGGTCATTTATTTTCTGATTACCAGACTAATTCCATGAGTTTTTGACCAAAGCAAGGACTTCATGTTTACTATATTGTTCTGATCAAAACGTGCAATTTTTATAACACGTAAGAACGTTAGACAGAATGACCAGAACATAAGGAGTGAGCTGAACTGTATGATTTACCTGAAATATTGTAAATGTAAATGTTTGAATGTAATAGTTAAGAATTATTCATTTATTTTTTTATGATAATACATCATTAAAGCCTTTTGATTGAGGAGGTAACACAAATGTTAAAAATTATTTTAATACAGCTGTTCCACATAAATTACGTCTGTATGCATTGTGAGGATATACACAAATACATAGCTTTTTGAAAAGGTCATAAACTTACCCTAAAGTATAAGCATAGTAATAGTTTAGTAGAGAAGAATATGATAATGCCATATGTTAAGAGATTTTGTAAATACTAAACTTACCTAAAAAGAAATAGTCTTATGATAAAATGTATATTATTACTCAATATACATGTTGTTTGTTGGTCAAAGCTGACTCATAGCTGACCCTCTAGGGAGTTTTCAGAGGCTGAAAATTGCATGGCAGGTGATGACCCATCTTTAACCTGTGGATTTGAACCAGCTGTTTTTTTGGGTTGATAGTTGTTGTTAGGTGCTGTTAAGTCGTAGAGGACTCATAGCGACCCTATGAACGAAAGACCTGAGCACTGTTCATAGAGTTTCCAGAGGCAAGCCATTTCTGCTTCTGAGCTTCTTTTAATCTGGAAGCTCCACCAAACGCTGTCCACCATGGGTAACCAATATCACATTTGGCACATCAGTGTCACAGTGTTTCGCATCACAGCAACCACAAGTTACCTCTGTACAGCAATGCACAGATTAGTGCTATACCACCTAGAAGAGTGTTTGGCAAAAAACAAAAAAACAATTTGAACCAGGCCTGAGGATTGATAGTACAACTCCCTATTATACATTTGGCCACCAGAGCGCCCTACATCTGATTATTTTATATTGTGAAGTATGTAAACAGTATGAAATATTTCAGAAAACTAGGATAAAGTAGCAAAGTTCAAAATCTTAATCCTTATTTTAGAAAATGATCTAAGACTTGGTAATATTTTATAGCCCATAATAGCTCTCTGATAACCCCTGGTTAAATGCTCACCTGTAAACCAAAAGCTGTCAACCCACCAGCTACACCAGGGGAGAAAGATGTGATGCTCTGCTTCTATGAAGATTATAACCTTGGATACCCTATGAAGTAGTTCTTTTCTGCCTCAAGGTCTCAGTGAATTTGTTGCCTTTATAAAAGCAGACGTCAGATCTTCCTGCAGAATGACTGGTGACTTTAAACTTTTTGGTTAGTGGCTGAGCACAACCATTTGTGCCACCAGGATTCCTTGAAGATTATCGCTGCAAAATTCTGTGGGCAGTTCTGGTCTGCTCTGTAGGGTTACATTGAGTTCGAGTTGATGGCACATAACAGCAACAGATAGTTCCTCTGTAGAAATGGTTATGCTTTCTGCTACTAGCTGAAAGGTTCAGTTTGAGCCAGCGCCCCCACCCCCACCTTGGAAGACAGCTTGGCCGTCTTCTGAAAGATACAGCCTTCAAAACCCAGGAATTCTACATGAGGTTGCCATAAGTAGGAATCAGTTTGATGGTAACTAACAGTAGTTCATCTGACTAGTTTAAGGGCTTTAATAAGTTTGCCTGTCTGGAGGTACAGTTGTTTTTAACTCCAGTGAAATGTTGAAGTAGATATCTTCTGAAGTTATCTTTCCTTCAAATGATAACATTTTATGTCCATTATTTTTATAGCTTAGTTTCTAGTTCTGAGATTGCCATTATTTAGAAGTTAAACTTCAGTTTATAAAGGGAGGATTTTAAAAATGGAAACCATACAAAGATTTTCCCCAAATGTTTCTAAATATTGTCAATTTTTAATGACATGAGTTAGGAATAAAATAGTGGTATTTTGATTTTTCATTGGTTTTTGTTGTTTTTTTGTTGTTGTTGTTTGTTTTTGGTTTTTTTTTTTTAAGGTCACCACCAGCAGTATTGATGTCTCTTCTTAGTACGCAAGAGGATTTGCTGGAAAATGTTTTAGGGTGTGTTTCTGTTGGGCAGATAGTAACTATTAAGCCACTGAGTGAGGATTTCTATTACGTTCTGGGCTACCTTCTCACATGGAAGTTAATACTTACCTTCTTCAAAGCTGCTTCATCTCAGGTAATTATATTACAACTTTTTTCTTAAATATATTTCTCTGCTCTTAAGTTCTTTTATTTTTGTCAAAGAAGGGTGAAGAGATGCTATACATTACAATCTAACATACTTAATTTTAGATGTTCTCTTAAGTTTATTTGTGTCCCAGAAACAAGATTTATATCATTAAATTTTGTGCTGCTGTTGTATTAATTTCAGAATAGTTGGATCATCAGTGCTTAGAGAAAGAACTTTGAAAATATCCTATTACATATAGTTATTCTTGCTCAAATTCTTCTAGCAGCCTCTAGATGTCTCTGTTGCCTCATGTTTGAAAAGAAACACTTCATTGTGTAGAAGGACCTGGGAAGATTTACTCTGTATTTCTTTTCTCCTTCTCCTTTTTAGGCAGATTTTCACTGAAGAATCTTAATCAAACCACAGTTCAGTCTCTAGTGACCTAATGGGTAGGAAGTTATGTTGCCAATCCTGAGGCGGGTATCTGTATCTATTAGCTGTTCCATTGGAGAAAATCGTGCATTCTCCTCCCATGCGATTTACAGCCTTTGAAAACCTGTTGGAAGGACAGCTAATGATTCAGTTTCAGCTTAGCAGCAATGAATTTGAAGTTTTGAGTATATGTGTGGTTTCTTTGATAAGTCACTACAAAAAGCCTTAGTTTATTACTTCATATTTAAGGTGTGATTAAATAACTCGTTATATTTGTTGTCTAAATAGGAGCTGTTCAGGATTCTTGAATTTTCTATTTGTAACTTCAACTTCTTGTACTACAAGTAGATATAAAAGGGCCTAATCCTCAGGATATTTTTAGTATGTCAGAAGAAATAATTGTAGGGCATGTACAGAGACGAGGGAGCTAAAAGTGAGCAAATGTAAAATATCTTGTTATTAAGGGATAAAGTTTTCTAAAGCATGAGTCCTGCGCACATGTCTGTCATTCACCCAGTGGTGCCCAATTTTCTTATTTTTAAAAGAAGAAACCAGAAATCTATATTTTTAAGATGTTTAGTAGTTACATGGAACCCTGGAAATGCATTGATTAAAGTGCTTGGCTACTAAATGAAAGGGCATGGATTCAAACCCGTTAGCCACTCTGAGGCAGAAAATGTGGCAGTCTCCTGCTATAAAGATGCTTAGCTTGGGACAATCTATAGGTAGTCCTAGAGAATGGAGTTGGAATCAACAGGACAGCAGTGGGTTTGGTTGTAGTTAGAAGTCACCAAAATATTTTTAGCTGCTAAGTTGTGCTACCTGTCTGAAATGGATTTTATATAATATTGGTTATAAAGTGGAGTCAGCCATGAAAATGGAATCAGTTTTAAACAAGGTTTTGAAAGATAAGAACAACAGCTTAAAAAGATTGTGTGGAAATTTTGGGAGCGGCGTGAACAAATCATCTCTGGGGAATGGGGAATAGATTTTCTTGGCTTTAGCAGAGATGCCCAGCCGAAGTGATCTTATCAACAGGTAGACGTTTTTAAAAAGATATTTGAAGCATATGTTTAATAGCGAGGGGATGGTGAAAGCATCTGCTAGTTTATGAGGATAGGGAGGGGTCACATTTGGAAAGCCAGACCTTGGAATGTATTTTGTAGGATTTTCATGAATTGCAAATTACTGAAGTTGTTAATGAAGTGTTCTTGTTATATTTCTTACGCTTAAGTGTATTTTTATTTACTGCTTACCTTGGTTTAATTGAATTTACTATGAAATTATTTGCTCTTTTCCAGCTTCGGGCCCTGTATTCGATGTACCTTCGGAAAACAAAGAGTTTGAATAAACTGCTCTATCATTTATTCAGACTTATGCCAGAAAATCCAACTTGCGGAGAGTCAGTTATTGAGTTCTCAAATAAGGATCCTAAAACATTCTTTACTGAAGAGCTCCATTTGAGGATTAGAGGTCAGTGAAATGTATATTTTGTCTCTCCTAGAGTGTAGGTTCGGAGCAATAGGTTATTCTTCATAACGCCAAATGTGGGTCCTGGCTATGAGAAAGTATAAGGTTAAAAGATTTTCACATTCCTTTAAATGCTGTTGTTGTTGTAACCTGTTGAGGTGGTTTGCAGAGGCAGTAAATTGCATGGGGGGACATTGTCTTTCTTTCTCCTGAGGAGCAGCTGGTGGATTTGAATTGAGTGCACCTTCTTAACTCTAGGCAACTAGAGCTCCATTCTTTATCTCGAATATTAAGTCACATGGATAAGGTTGTGAAGAATTTAATAAGTTTTTATGGTTAGTGTGTTGAAATTGTTATCTTTAACTGTAAACAGATATCATTCATTATATGACAGTATTTTGTAATCATGTAAATAAGTAGCTTTCGGCTGAGCAAAAAAGTAAAATTTATTTTTTCCCGTCTGGGAGCTCAAATTTTAGCAGAAGTCATAGATATACATGCATATCCTTTCTCCATACCTGTTAAGTCTGTATGTTGAGCAAATAATTTGAGGAGCTGGGCTCCGTGAAGAAGAATGTGGCATCAGGATTGGAGGAGGATTTGTCAGCAACCTTTGTTACACAGATGGTACAATCTTGCTGCAGAAAGAGGAGATAACTTAACACATTTACTGAAGAAAATCATGGGCTACATCTCAACATCACCAAAACAAAATTGTAACCACTGGGCCAATAGACAACATCATGATACATGGAAAAAAGATTGAAGTTATCATCAATTTCATTTTACTTAGATCCGCAATCAGCACCTATGGTAATAGCAGTCAAGATCAAAAGACATGTTGCATTAGAAAATCTACTGTAAAGGACCTCTCCAAAGTACAAAAGAGAAAGAATATCAGTTTAAAAGACCTGATGTACAATTTAAAAGGTACATCCAATCCAAGCTTTTCATTTGCTTCTTAGGCATATGAAAGTTGAGCAGTGAATTAGGAAGACCAAAGGAGAATCTATGCCTTTTAATTGTGTTGGTGAAGAGTATTGAATATACCATGGACTGACAGAAGCTTATAATCTATCTTAAAAGAAGTGTAACGAGTGTGCTTCTTAGAGGCAAGGATGATGAAACTATCTTAGCTACTTTGGGCATGTTTTCAGGAAGAATCAGTTGTTCAAGAAAGACATCATACTGGAAAAGGTGGGAGTTGGCAAACGAGAGGAAGATCCTTAAGAATTGTACTAACGCAGTGACTACCTTAATGGGCTTGAATGTGAAGATGGTGCAGAATAGGACGTGGTTCAAATCTGTCGTTCACAGGGTTGCTGTGAGTCCTAGTTGACTTGACGGCACCAAACAACAGCCAAACACAGTGTTTATATGTGCTTTACTAAGAATAGAACTTTTACAAGTTCTTTGACGTTGTGAAGTGGGGAGTTTATCTTGTGATGTTTGAAGCAGGTTATTCTACAGCTTTTACTTCTCCCATCAAGCTCTCAAGAAAGTAAAAGAACCAAGATTCCTTTCTATCTTTTATAACAGAGAAAATCTTTCTTTTAAAAAATACGTGTATACCATTTTATCAGTGGTCACACATGTGAAACATAGGATGCTATTTACAGGCAAATTTTTTTCAGTGTTGATTGGGATTTTCACTCTTACTCTTTGTCATTCTTATGGTTCATTTAGAGAAATGAGAGAAGTAGTTAGTACTCTTGTTCTAGTTTCTTTAGTATGTTTGTTCTACAAGCTGTGCCACTATTGCTGAGAGATTGTACATGGTATGCTAAGGAAAATATTAATATTGGTGTATTATTTTGTGTAAGAAATAAGTCACTAACTAAGAATTTGTTGTTTTCCTCAGAAACATCAGCTCTTCCATACCAAATTCCACACTTGGCTTGTTCAGTCTATCATATGACATTAAAAGACTTGCCCGCTATGGTTAGATTGTGGTGGAATAGCAGTGAGAAGCGTATTTTCAATATTGTGGATAGATTTACAAGCAAATATGTCAGCAATGTGCTTTCTTTTCAAGAAATATCTTCTGTGCAAACAAGTACACAACTGTTTGATGGCATGACGGTTAGTATTTTACTTTATCTGGAGAAGTTACTTGAATATTGATTCTTTTTGTCATTGTAATGAATATAATCACAAATTTGAAGCCTTTGGTTCAGATTTAGAGAACTTGTTACACATTCTGAATTTTGCGTGTCAAATCTCAACGTTACTTAAATCATGGATTGAAATAATGGGAAAAATGTTATGGATTTACTTACTAGAGAGTCTTGAATAGTCATAATTTCATAAGAGGTATATGTACATGTAAATATGAATATTTACTTGATGTTAGACACTGTGTGCTGATCAACTGAGAAATGAATTGGAAGTGGAATTGGATGCCGATAAAAGTATAAAATCTTAAGAGGGAAAAGATCAGTGTTGGTAGTGGTTAGTTTTGAGAACTGGAAAGTATCACCTTAGGAGGCAGATTGCTCTGGGATCAGCGTAGATGGAGGTTCCATCTGGCTGAGGAAATTCATTATGCTAGACTTCATGAAGGAAGTTTATATTGAGAAAGGCATTATTTTATTATGTGAAAAATGAGAGGCAAGTGTTTAATAGAGAGAAAATAGTATGGTGGAACCAGCAAAGTTGGAGATAACTTCTGTGACTGCCCAGGAAATGATAAGTAGCCTATTATTCATGTAGAGTAGAATCAGATGGGGCAAGGACACAATCAAGGAAGCAAACTGCTTGAGGGATGAGTTAGGTCCATACTGGGAAGTGCCTTTTTTTTTCCGAGTCATCCACTGAAGATTTTTCATTCATGAAGTGGCATTGTCAGAGTTGGGCTTTCTGAAATTGCTTTGATTGTAATATATAACAAGGGCTGTTGGCTTAGATATAAGATTTAAATCAACAGTTACAGAAAACTTTTAGTGTAGGCATTTTGAACAGTGAGGAGGGCCTAATATCGGTGGGAATATAAAAGAACATAGATAAAAGACTTTGTGGTGGCGATTTTGCCAGACTTGAAACTAATATCTAATATAAGGAATATAAGATTGTGCTGTGATTTTTAACCTGGGAATGCAAAAGTCAGAAGAATGAATTTCTAAAAGAAAGTTAATTTGTATTTTAACCATATTGACCTTGCAGTCATTGTAAACATTGTAAAGTGTCAGGTATTTGAAATGATTACATATCTCATGTCAAATAAATGACTATGTCTGCATTTTCTTTGAAAATTTTGGCTGCTAAAGGTCAACCTAGCACAATGATTTTGAATGAAAGATATTTTGGGGAAAAGCTTAACTGCTCTGTGTTGCAGGTTAAAGCTCGAGCTACCACTCGAGAAGTAATGGCTACCTACAGTATAGAGGACATAGTCATTGAACTTATAATACAACTGCCTTCAAATTACCCCCTGGGTTCAATAACAGTGGAAAGTGGGAAAAGAATTGGAGTGGCTGTGCAGCAGTGGCGGAACTGGATGCTGCAGTTAAGCACTTACCTCACCCATCAGGTAGGCTGCTTCTTATAAGTTTGAGTGTCTAGATTAAAGGGAATCCTTATAATCTGCTATCTGAACAGGGAGTCAAACCTGAAATATATTTCTTCTTAAAATAGAAAGAACCATATCCCCTTGATAATCACAGCTGTATGCCTGAATGGCTTGAATGTGCTCACCCCATTTTATTTTTGAGGCTTTGATTCGCTGGTGTTTGCGAGGAACTGACCTGACTTGATTGACATTGTAAAAAATATAGAACACTGCATGTTGCTATCTATACCTTTGTGTTGGTTCCAGCTCATTCTGTGTGATCATCTGGGACTGCCCACAGGATTTCCTAGTCTGTAATCCTGATAAGAGCACGTTTCCAGGTTTTTTCGTTGCAAAGCCACTGGTGGATTTAAGTTGCATTGCTACTCTTTCAGTTAGTAGCTGAGTCTGAGTTCTTAACCATTTTGTCTGCAAGACTCCTTATTACGAAAATGATTTGAAAGTAAATCACTTTTTGAGATACTGGACAGATGAATCTTTTTTTTTTCCGTCATATTTTTTTTTAAATTTTATTTAAATTTATTATTAATTTCAGTAGAAATTTACAGAGACTTTGGATTTCCATTCATTCATTGTTGCACTTTTTCCCCTCTCCCAACCCTTCCCCCTAGTACACTACCCTCTTGGAAAAGTAAAATTCTTCCATTGTTTTACAATCCCTCCCCCCAGGTCCACTTCACTATGCAGCCTTCGCTCTGGACTTCTGTCATGACAAAAATACCTAATCACATAACCCTTTTAAACAGTTTTCTTTCTCATCTGTTTCAATGCAATATACATTATTGAACCCATCTTTCTAGTCTCTCCCCAACCCCAAGGTCAGTTCTGTTTTACAACAGTGGAGATACTTCACTCAGCATAATGTCCTCCAAGGTCACCCATTTTGAATAATATTGCATGAGTTCCTTGTTTTTCAATGCAGCATAATATTCCATTGTGTGAATATACCACAGCTTCTCTATCCATTGTTTGTTGGTGAGCACTTAGGTTGTTTCCAGCTCCTTGCTATTGTGAACAAAGCCTCAATAAACATGGGTGTGAGATGCATCCTTTTTTTGAATTATTTTCACACTTATACTTTCAGCTGTCTCTGTAAGGGAAATTTCTGTCTTTTCAAAACCAGCATTTGACCTTTAAACAAATTATAAGTCTTCTCCAGTTGTAAATGTGATAACTCTCAGGCATACTTTAGTAAAAAGTAATTATTTAAAATCAAATGTGTCACTAACATAGTAAAGTACTTTATAAGTCGGCATTTGAGAAGGTGTTTGAATTAATTTTTATCTTTGTCTTTTAAAATAGAAACAATTAATTATTAAAAAGATGTCATCAATGAAGTAAGATTTAAAGTATTGGTGCACAAGTCTTTCTTTTAGCTTTATCTTTAACAGAGAAAAAAAAATTTGTTCCAAAAAATTTGGTAGGTGGTTTAAATGCAAACTTTTTAAAGAGATAATGAGGATAGTTAAGCAGATTCTTTCCTTAGAATTATAACTCTGCTTTGAAAATTTGTGAAACTCAATACAAATAACATAATAGATGGTATACTATGTATATTGACTTTTTCTTTCTTGTTTATAGAATGGCAGTATTATGGAAGGCTTAGCATTATGGAAGAATAATGTTGATAAACGTTTTGAAGGTGTTGAAGATTGCATGATCTGTTTTTCAGTCATACATGGTTTCAACTATTCTCTTCCCAAAAAAGCCTGTAGAACATGCAAGAAAAAGTTCCATTCAGCCTGTTTGGTAAGTCAGTAATTGTAATTTGGTAATTATAAAATAGAAGTATAAATTATACGTAATTTTTTTGTAATTATAAAATATTATTAAATGAACATCTGTTACATTTTATGTATACTATCTGACTTTAGAAAAGAGGACAATGAATGTCAGACTTTTAACTGTAGCTAATGGAAGACATTGAAAATTACTTTTAAAAATTTTTGAAGGTAGTTAGTAATAATTTACTGAGACTGGTAACATTGAACCACTTTACACTTTAATAAATGGATCTATCTAGTGTGACTCTGAGCACTCAAGATACAGATGGTCATGTAAAGTTTCAAACATACCGAAGACTAAAAACCTAGAACTGGGCATAGAAATACTGATAATTGGTAAGGAGGTTCACTTTTTATGGTGTGCTAGAAATTGAAGGTTAAATAAGACTAATATTTGCATACCATGCACCAAGCTGATTTTGTTGCTGTTAGGTGCCGTCAAGTTGAATATGACTCGTAGTGACCCCATGAACAACAGATCTGAACTCTGCCCAATCCTGTGATACACCTGAGCCCATTACCACAGTCACTTTGTCATTTTGCCAGGTTGAGGGTCTTCCTCTTCTTTCACTTGCTCTCCCTGCACCCTTCCAAGCATGATGTCCCTCTCCAGTGAACACCTCTTCTAGCAATATGCCCAAGAGTTTGGGAGGCGAAACACACACACACACACACACACACACACACACACACACACACACAGTGGTAAAATTCTTGCCTTCCATGTAGTAGATTCAGATTTGGTTTCTGGCCACTTTATCTTGTGCTCAGCCACCAGGCATCTGCTACTGGAGGTTTGTGTGTTACCGTAATCTGAATAAATTTCAGTAGAGCTTCTGGATGAAGACAGACTTGGAGGAAAGGCCTGGTCATCTACTGTGGAAAGTCAGCCAATGAAAATCCTGTGAATCACATTGATTTGATATATTTGATTATGGAAATGACATAGGACTGGCCTGCATTTCTTTCATTCCATTTATGTGTGGGATCACCAGGAGTTAGGACTGACTCTGGCCACTAAAAATAATAAAAATTGAGTATGTGTGTACAAATGAGAATATTTATGTCCTCTTTTCTCATCTAAGAACTAAGAATGGAATAGATTTAATTCTTAGTTCATAGGACAGGAAATAGTAGACTTCAACAGGTTGAACAAGCTGCAGAGTAGGAATTTATACTTACTAAATGATGAAGTTTTATAGTCAGAGCCCTTTGCTTGTTTCAGACACCATATTGAAAGGACAGTTGCCCAATGCTCAATTGCTTCGCAGGAGCCTTCCTGACATATCTTAGTGGATGTATGCATGAGTCTAGGTAGAATTATGGTTAAAAGAAGTAATAATTCAGTCCTGTTTTTTGAGATGAAGGGAGAGAACAAATATTTTAGTCTTTTTTTCACTTAGTCATTTTAAGATTACTTTAGATATATTTTAAGATACCAGCTTTAAAAATCATTTTAACATTAAAAATTTTTTCTTTTGCAGTATAAATGGTTTACATCTAGCAACAAATCTACTTGTCCCCTATGTCGTGAGACCTTTTTCTAGGTACTGCTTTTGTTGGAAATGATCCCTGAATGAAATCAAGTGAAGATATCGAATTTGAGTTTGTCTTAAAGTGTTGCTGTGAAGAAGCCAGTGAGCATTAATTTTAAATAGCACCTGCTCTGGACAATTCTTTTAGTTAATATAATGATCCTAAAATCAAGTTTATTTACCTTTAGATTGCTTTGTAAATGTTTGGAAACCTTTTCTTTTACATAAGAATATTACATATTTGAGAGAAAATATTTATATTAATAGTTTAATCTATTTGTATATTTTAAAATAAATATTGAAAATACACTTAAATTACCAAATTAAAATTTGGAAAACACTGTATCAGCTGTATTAAATTGATAAATTAGGTCCATTTGTTATTGTGTGGCAAGGTGAATCAACATTGTTAATGCTTTAAGTCTGTAGATATTTTAGGACTTATTATTTGTTAGTTCAACAACAAAATACTTAGGAATATTCTGAAATTTGTAAATTTTTTTTACTTTAAAAAAAGATGACTAAATATAGCTTATCATAAGCTATTTGAAGCTTGCTCCAGAAATATATAAAAGACTGTAAACTGGCTTTAAGGTGCCTCTATTTATCAGGGGTTATTATTAAATTTATGAAACAAAATACATGGATCTGTTACTTTGCTTGTAGAAGAATAATTTCCATATATTTGTGAAATTGGAATTGCAAACCTTACTGAATTTATTACTCAATTTAAATGAGTCTCCCAAAGGTGAGAATTTGAGAGAAATAGAAATTACTAAAAAAGGAAAGAAAATAATGGAATTAGATTATTCCATTCATGAAGCAGAGAGGTAGTTATCTCTTTCAGGAGGAGGAAAGTGAATGCGTATGTCTGAAACAAGGTCTGGTGGAAGAAACATAAAAAAGTGTTGTAGGAAGCCTTCAATTTTTTTAAGTAATATTTTGCTCTTACTACTGGCCAAAGTTATACTAGACAAGAAATCTGTGCAAGCAAATTCTTTTCAGATTTTAGAAATAAAAGTTAAGAATTTTAATAGTAAAATTTAGTATAATATGCTGAAGTGAATTGGTTGAAAACCTAATTATTTCCACAGCACTGTTATCTTTAAAAATTGTGCCCAAAATACAGAAATTTTGTACTTGGAATATTATTATTGCCGTCTTCCATTTCCTGGGAAATCATTACCATATGTAATAGCTAGGATACTTTAAATCAGCCGATCATCTCTGCTGCAAGTGTTTCATTGGCAAACAACAACAACCCATGCTAAATAAAATTACTGCTTACCATCAACTGGGCAAAATGGTTATTATTGAAATAGTATGAATGTGGTCAGAAGATTACAGTCAGTTGTTAGTATTTCTAGATGGAGTGCCTAGTTATATCACTTCTCCCCTGCTGTGTTTATTATCTATTCTAATCTTGAGGCTCGAGTCAATAAGTTCAGAAAGCAAAATTCTGCTGCTGCTTCTTAACCCGTCTTAAAATATTCACTATTTTTTGGAATCTTTTTCAGAAGAGTAATTCAATAGGATTTTATTACTTATTTGTGAAAGTTTTTAATTCTCTTCAGAATGGCTTTTTAATAAGGCTTTGTTTATAATTTCACCAGTATTGGTATTTCTTGGCTACTGATTCAGTCCCCAAATAGTAAAGGAACATGAAGATTGGAGCATTATTTTCATGTTATTATTTGGGACATCAATTCCTGATGACACACACTATAGTTAAATGAGGTGCTTACTCTTCATAGAACACATTTCTGTAATATTGATAACACAAACAAAAAGGATAGCACGCTTTAAAATTTCTGGATAATTTAAATGGCATAAAATTCAGAGTTCATTAGAAAGAACTAATTTTAAAGACTAAAATAATTACAGATTTAAAAAATTAAATTTTCACTCTTATTTATGACATGCTCTAATGTATGAATGTAGGTTCTGAGACTTAATAATTTGTTATTTATAGATTTTGTGGTGGGAATAATTAATATTTGGTTATTACTATATGTGGTCAATTAAAATATTTTTAATTATAAAATTTCTCAAATACACTGAAAATATATAATAGTACTACTATAAATGCCCTTGTATTCTTCATAAAATTAATATTACTTTTGATTTTTTAAGAAATAAAAGGTAACTATTTTATATTCTTCCCTGACCTCATGAAGTTCCTATTTAGGATTTTATACTTTTATCACATGTGTTTGTATCCATAAATTGTTGTTGTTGTTATGTGCTGTTGAGTCACCTGTGTCTTCTAGAGACCCTATTACAACAGCTCTGAAGCCTGCTCTATTGTGAGCCATTCTCACTGACTCCAAAACACATATCCACGTTGCCCTAGTTATTGTATCAATCCATGTTGTCCTGGGTCTGTGTCTCCTATGCTGTCTCTCCACCCTTCTGAACATGATGTCCTTCTCCAAGGATCGGTCCCTCCTAGCAACATGCCCAAAGTATGTGAGATGGAGCTTCAGAATCCTGGTATCCAAGGAGAAACATAGTTTCACTCTTTCCAAGACAGACTTATTTTTCTTAGTGGTCCATAATATTTGTTCTAGACTCTTTTCCAGCACCACAACTCAGAGGCATCGATTCTTCTTCTGTCATGCTTAGTCTTTGTCCAGCTTTGTGAGGCATAGCAAGTAATTGTGAAGACCATGGACTGGATCATTGCTTCTCAGTACTCTGGAGAGGTTCCTGACAGATCTTCCCAGTACAATTCGTCTTTTGATTTCCTGACTGTTGGTGCTAAGAGTATTGATTATGGAGCCAAGGAAGCTGTAATTGTTAATAGCCTCAGTCTCTTCTCCAACTATCATGGTGCTGCCATTTGGCCCAGTGGTGAGAATCTTTGTTTTCTTCATGTTGAGCTTCAATCCATATTGAAGACTACAAGTCCTTGACCTTCAGCAGCAAGTGCTTCAGGACCTCCTCACTTTCAACAAGAAGTGTGGTGTCATCTGCATAATGTAGGTTGTTGATTAGTCTTCCTCCAATTCTGATGCCACATTCCTCCTCATAAAGCCCAAACTCCCAAATTATCTGTTCTGCATATAAATTGAGAAGATACAGTGACAGGATGTATCTCTGACACACTCCTTGGTTGATTCTGGCACATGCATTGTTTCTTTGCTCTGTTCTGAAGACTGTTTCCTGGTCCAGATACAGGTTTTGGATAAGTACGATCAAGTGTTCTGGGATTTCAGTTCTCTTCAGGGCTAACCACAATTCGTTGTGATCGACACAGTCAAATGTCTTTGCACAGTCAGTGAAACGCTGATTGACATTCTTCTGATATTTTTTACTTTCTGCCAAGATCCATCTGACATCTATAGTGCTTCTAAACCCAGCTTGTATTTCTGGTCATTCTCTGTCACTGTACTGTTCCAGTTGTTTTTGGATAATCTTCAGCAGGAATTTGCTTGTGTGTGATATTAGTGATATTGTTCGATAATTTCCATGATTTCTGGGTCACCTTTTATTTTGGAATGGGAATAAATACGGATCTCTTCCAGTCAATTGACCAGATAATTATCCTCCAGATTTCTTGGCACAACCTGCTGAGCACATCCAGGGCAGCATCTCTTTGTTGAAATATGTCAATTTGGTATTCCATCAATTTCTGGGGCCATATTTTTTGCCAATTCCTTCAGAGCAGCCTGCACTTCCTTTGTCAACATTGGCTCATGATCATGTTGTTTCTTGAGATAGTACTTTGTCAACCAATTCTGTTTGGTACAGTGACTCTGTATTCCTTCCATCTTCTATTAATACTTCCTGAGTCATTCATTAGTCTGCACATAGCATCCTTAAGTATCCACTTCCGAAATATAACAGGCCTTTGAAAACCCTATGTACAATAGAACACACGTAGAGTACAATAACATATATGGCAAATGAGGCTGAGCCATCAAATTTGGAAACACAAAGGAGGAAGAACAGTTGTAAGCAGAAACTAATGATTGGAATGTGAGAAACATGAATGTAGAAAGACAATGTAAAAGAAATGGAAGACAAATATTGACATATTAGGTAGGTATTGGCAAAATAAGATGGATTATCTTGGAACATTTTTAATCAGACAATCATATGTTCTATTATGCTGGTCATAAAAAGGTGAGAAAAAGTGGGCTCATTTTCATAGTTAAGAAGGCCATTTCTAGATCTATCTATAAATACAATATTGTGAGTGACAGGATACCATTCATATGTATAGAAGGAAGACCTGTTAATACTACTATCATTCAAATTTATGCACCTACAGCCAGAGCCAAAGAGGAGGAAATAAATGGTTACTATCAACTTTTGCAGTAAAAAATCAGTCAAACATGCAACCAAGTTACATTAATAAAATGGGTGACTGGAATGCAAAAGTTGGAAACAAGAAGGATCAGTAGAAGACATGGACTTGGTAACAGAAATGGGGCTGGGGATAGAACGGTAGAGTTCTGCATAATCAGTGATTTTTCATAGCAAATAACCTTTTACAAGAAACACAAGTACAAGTTATACACATGATTTCACCTCATGGTAGGCATTGGAGTCAATCAGATTGATGACCTCTGTGGAAGGAATCGTTGGAGAAGTTCAATATCAGCATTGAAAACTAGGCAAGGTACTGATTGTGGAACAGACTATCAACTGCTCACATGTAAGTTCAAATTAAAGCTAAAGAAGATCAAATCAAATCCACAGGAATCACAATTTGATCTTGTGTCTATCCCACCTGAATTTAAAAATCAATTCAGGAAGAGGTTTGAGGTCTTGAACATTAATGAATGAAGATCCGATGAACTGTGGTAGGATATCAAGAATACCATCCATGAAGAATATAAAAAAAATCTTCACAATGATAGAAGAAAATACCAAAATGGATGTCAGAAGAGACTGAATATTACACTAGAACTCGGAGATGCCAAAGAAAATGAAGAAACCAAGAAGTTAAGGAGCTAAATAGAAGATTTCAAAGGGCAGCTCAGGAGGACAAGGCAAAGTATTAT